GGCACACAGGATATGTTAATTTTCCCTAAAACTGCATCAGTGTTAGAAACGCTGTCATGGCTTTGTCTGAGGGCTTGGTGATACTAACCAGTGATTCTTGATTAGTAGTGGCTCCAGCTACTTCTTCAAGAAGAACGACGGCACTTCGATGGGTAGAAGGAAAATGGCCCGTGGGGTGATATTTTGAAGGTTGTCCACTAGATGGCATTGTGAGTCCATCAGAATTGCTTTCACTAGGTATTTATTCACCAGTTAAATACTAATTAAAGAAAGATATTAGTAAATGGAAGTTAGTGATAATAGCACTATCTTTGAGAAAGCTGCTTGTTTACCTTGCGTATCAGCTAAAGGCAGCAACAATGTACAGTTATCTAGAGACAACGTTGTTTAGTCCTCACTTCAAAGCAATCACCTCCTTAAGGAAGATAATTATGCTGTAGCCAATGGACCGGATAAACCTTCAGAGCAACGAAAGGTCAGTGAGGAATTCTACCCAAAAACCTAAACATATTTTGGTTCTCAGTTGAATTGTCTAAACTCTTTGTGAGATAAATGAATTCCAAAAGCATTCAGATAAAATATATCAATGACAGGCTTAAACTTGGCTTTGAAAGGAAGCTGGGTAGGATGACGATGCAGGAGCAATTTTAGGTTTAACCAAGAGAGGGTTCCTTATTCTGTCATCTCTGTGGGCTTGCTTTGAGCAGAAGAACACCTGGATGGATGGAATTTAGGTAGTGATAATAACAAATATTATAATGATTACTATTTTTATGTTAACTCATCTAATGACAGGAAGTTAACTGAACTTACATCTATGACTTTTTTTTTTTTTTTTTTGCTGGGGACACTGACAGTAGCATGTACCCACCCTAAAAAAACACTGGCTTTTCTGGTTGATTCTACTGTTTTCCTAACATCTCATTTATCCCCTCCACACACGTCCACTTCCTCCAGCACACCTTCACGTGTCTCCCCTCTTGTCTGAAACCTTTTGGAATCATGATGTGTAAAGCCAAGGAGCAGTTGCCTGAGGACACATCCTGCTAACGGAGGCACAAAATAAACGGAGATAAAGCACAGATGTTCAGAGACACAGTCCAAAGCAATGGCAACTTGACACTGAGATGCTGAGTGTGGTTCCCAGGGAAGGAGCTTGGCGGGGCCACTCTCACTGCTCAGGGTACCCCCTGTCTCCCCTGGTCTCGAAGCAAAGCAAACGCTGAATGCTGTTTTTGCTTTTTGCCTTTTATCGTGAAAGGGAAAATCTTCAGATTTCTTCCAGCTAGAGAAAATAGGTACTAATGCTGGTCTTTCGTAAAAGCAAAGTGGCTTAAAGGGTACTTGTGAAAAGCAGGGGATAGATACCTGCACTCACTCTTAGAATATTTCAAAGAATGAAACACTTCCAACTCTCTTCAATCTCTTGAGAAAGAAAGGACACTCCCAAGTTGGCAGCTCTCACTGCTCAGAGTGAAATACGGTGGTCTGTGGATACCATGTGGAATGATGGGTGGAGATCTGTCCCCAGCGCCCACACACCTACCATTAGCTCTAAGTACAGCTCACGCCTTGTCCTCAGTCCTACTTTGAATGTTCTTATTATCATATGTTTGAAGTGATTGCCTAATGGAGATCTCTTTATACCTATGAAACAGGAGACCTTTCATCAGCAATTTTTTCATAATTTGTATACACGGATAGGCCTGATAAGGAAGAGACCAATTTCTGATGGCCAATGAGTCTTCGGAAAGAAGGAGAAATAGCTCAAAGGCGCGGCACTTGGTAATTCATTATCTAGAGCCGAGATCTGATAGAAAAGTTCGTAGATGTCAAAGATCCTAAGAAAAGCCGTTTAAACAGTTCTCCTGTGACAAAATTTTGACTTCAAACTTTCACAGTTTCGAGGAATTCTATCTTGATGGTTAATCAGTAAATGGTCAACATGTGAGACATGCCACTCGTCCGAAATCAAAGTTCAAGTCGAACATTCTTAGTCAGGTTGCCTAGTTTTCAGGTGTTGAGTCATGCTGACGAAGGGGCAATGGAGCAGGGAGGTCGGAGAGAGGAACTTTCCTGCCCTTACATAAGTCATGTGAGTAACAGTAGCTTCATTCTTGCGCTGGAGAGCTCTCTAGGTGCCTGAGTCAGAATTCCTGACCAATGGGAGACAGGGAAGCTGGAACTGTCCCCCTTTAATTCAGTGGGAGAAAAATGTTTGGAATGTCATTTGCGCAATGTGACCTCAGTTCAATGCAACAAGCCCGGGCAGGTGAGACAGAATCCACTGTCCTGTAGGGAGACGTCTCAAGGGTATACTTTTAAACATTTCAATTACAGAAATTCTTATCATGGGATAATGTTCTCCTCAACACAAGGAGAGACCAAAAGGTAATGTGATTCATTAAAACAAAACAAAACAAACATAACTGAAAGTATGCAATCAGAGAGATGTGGGCTCTTCTCGTTTGAGAATAGGTTTGAATTTTGGAAATAGCCAAAATGTAGGTGGCTTGGAGGCAGTGCAGGGGAGAATCTCTTAAAAAACTGAATAATTGGAAAGACTGAAGCTGCAGTGCTCAATCTTCTTTTTTAAAAATAGGAACCTCTTTCGGTTTTCACAAAGACTCTCCCTGCCTGGGGTCAGGGGAGCTTGAGATACAGAGTTGCTATATGTGATACAGCCACCTCTCTCCCAAATCAGACATTGCACGAGAAAGAATGCATCACCGGGATAGTCACCTTGATAGACCTCCTAGGGTTTTAGTTTCGTCGTCTGTAGAATGTGGAGCTGAACCAGGGAGTTTCGAAGGCAGTGAGTGTCTATCTGGGGTACACAGCAGAGTCACCCAGAGTCTTTGAAGGAGATGAGTTCCTTGAAATAGGTAGTGGTGTTTTAACCCATAGCATGGACTTGGTCCAACACACGACACATAGTTACGGTTGCCAGATTTAAGCAAATAAAAACACAGGGCAGCCAGCTAAATTTGGATTTCAGATAAACGATGAATACATTTTTAACATGAGTATGTCCCCAATATTTATCTGACAACCCTACACATAATAGGAAGTCTGAATTTGTTGGTGAATGAATGGATATCATCAAGCCTGGACTGGTGGGACTTCTACGTAAAGGACGTGTAGTAGGGGGCATGTGTTTCAGTAGTTTCAATCACAGCACGTGGGGAGTCTCTTGCTCTTTTTTTTCCCCAAGGGTTATCAGCCTTGATTGGATCCTTTTTCATCCTTTGACAAGAAACGTTATATCAGTTGGAATGCTTTAGGCTGCGAGTAAATTATACCTCAACTGAAATAGCTCGAATGATAAGGAAATGTGTGGATTTACTTAACAAAAGGTCTGGGGCTAAGATGAAGTCATCAGGGACCCATGTGTTTCCATCCTCTTTCTGCTGGGACATCCTAGGTGTGTTGGCTTTCACGTTCAGGTTTGTCCCTGTGCTTGTAAAATGGCTAGTGCATCCCCATATACCATGTCTTTGTATAAATATAATCAGTCAAAAGGAGGAAAGGCACTTTGTATCATACATGCCTTTTTTTTCCCCTTTAACAGAAGGCAGTGGGGACTGAACCCAGGACCTTGTGCACGCCAAGCATGTGCTCTACCACTGAGCTATAATCCCCACCCCTATACATGTCTTTTTAATTGAAGGAAAAGGAAAATCTTTCCTAGGGATTTCTACCCTCGGAATAGTTCCTCTTGAAACTCGTTGGCCAGAACTGGGCCACGTGCCCACGCACTAGCCTAAAGGGAGGCTGGAATGCAAGTTTCCACTCTTCCTAGTGGGAGGCAGTCTCTGCAAGTGATGAAGGAAGTGGCCGGAAGTAAATATGGTCGAGGCAACGGAGTGCCATTCCCAACCATCACATCTAGAATAAGCCTCTTCTTTTCAATGACACCAACACATGGATGGATTCTTGGCTGGTGGAGCAGTCTGAAGGAGTGAGGAACACTTCACAGTTTCAGGAGGTAGTTCTTTTGAAGGTTTCTATGCATTAAACTGGGGCAACAAACAAAGACACATCTGTGTTGGTCCCAACATAGCCCTTTGCACGTCTTGTCATTTAGCCAGAAGGATTAGAACGTCTTCAAAAGTTTATGATTACTTTCCTTTTAGCCCAGAAAAAAATTATTTAAACTTGGAGAATCCTTTTTCTTTCCCCCATTATTCACCTCAAATTTTCAGGCCAAACGTATGGCATAATATCCCATTGAGTATATGCACAAACATCCTAGAAGAGCTGGCAGAATGTTCATTTCAGAGGGGGGTTTCTTTCAGTTGGAATTCATCCTAGTGTACTTTCTTTTGGAACTATGCTATTAGAAGAACGGTAACACAGAAAATAATTTTCTTTTGATGCCCGTGACTGCCTAAGATTCTTTTTTTTTAATCAGCATTGACCTGTAGCTGCTCCTGTTAGGAACAGTGCCAGGACTGGTGCTTCTCCTTTTCTTTTTCTGTTTTTTTCTTTCCCTAAATGGAGGTACTGGGGATTGAACCCAGGACCTCATGCATGCTAAGCATGTGCTCTACCACTGAGCTATACACACTCCCCTGCCCTAGATTCCTAAAGGGCTCTGCACACTGGTTTTTAACCTCCCATCACTTTGATCAGGTGAAGCAGACCAATGTGCATGTTTCTGTGTGGCGAACACTTAACTAGTCTCAAGACCAGCAAAAGAGGTTTGGCCCTGACTTTCACACAGTGTTACATGCTTTTGTTCACCATGTAAATGGGGTGTGTAACTGGGGTAAATTCTTTCACAATGCTCTTAAAGCACAGATATTAAAGTGTATTTTCTCAGAGCTTATATAAAATTCCAATTGGTGTACTGAACACGTTTTAAACGCTACATATGGAGAAGAGAGAACGAAAACTAGTATTTAATGAATAGCTTGGCTATTCCAGACATGACGCTAAGTGTCTGACATCTTTGAATTTATATAATCTTGAAAACAACTTTTTGAATTATTTTACAGGCTATTGATTCATCCAGGGTTGTATAATCCAGCGAACATCAGAGACAGAATGAGAATTACTGCCAAAGACTACACCTGCAAAGGAAGAGATGGGGAGCTTTTACAAATACACACTTGATAAGGTAGTTTTTTTTCTTGGTCTTTATCTTTGCCTGTCTATTAAAATAGAATTTCTGCTTAGGGTTGAATTACAGAGCAGGTTTTAAATCCAAAACAGCACTCTCACGGTCATGAGCAGGATGTCCAATCAGAGCGATGTTTTTTTGGAGAAAGATTTGCACGTTTTCTCCCGCCCACTGACAAGGATAGGCATATCCTCTGGAATTCACTGCATTATACATTCCTAGCATAGCAGGTCGGTCGTTAATTATTCTCAGGAAGAGTGTTCAAAGTTCCCTTCATCCTTTGGGTGATATGATAGAACAGTGAAGAAAAAAACAAAACTAAAACCCCTGGTATAAGCACCAGGGTGCTTAGGTGGTATCTGATCCAATATCCCATTTGTTACAGATTCTTTAATTTCCACACTGGTTCGTCACCCTCTGAGAGAAAAGAAGGGGAAGACTATAGATTTTTTTACTTAGGGGACAAGTCATTATTGGACTTCCCTGACCTAACTAATTTAGGTTATAGTACAAAATAGCACAGTTAGAACCTAGAACCATATGCTAGTTCTTCAAAAAGGCTTTGAGGTATGCACAAGAGTTTATAGTGACTACTTGAGAAAAGTGTTGGACTTTGGAGGAAGGCTGCTTGAGAAAACTCTAAAGAAGATTAATCAACATACTTTGGTTATCTCTGGAAAAAAAGAAGAAAGAGTTTAAAGGTACACGCATTAATCCAGCAAGGTAATTACTCCCCAAGGATTCTCTTGCAATGCATGTGGGTTTTCATCTTTGTTTCCCAATGACTTAGACATAGTAAGTGTTTAATTTGCTGCTTTATGGTAGAAAATTCGTTGAGTCAACAATTATTTGTTCAACAATAATTTATTCAACAACTTTTTAGTAAATACCAGACATTGATACAGGGACAGAAATAGAACTGTAAACTGGGATGAAAGACAGAAGGTGTCACTGCAAAGAAGAGCCAGTTTCCAAAATTCAAGAAAAAAGATGGGAACAAATTCTAAGGGATTTATTCTTTAGAGTGAGCCCCGAATGACAGATGATTCTTCTACCGTCCCACCCACTTA